CAATGAATTGCGGGGCTAGCAGCTGTGCCTGCGACTCTTCATCCAAATTCGGCAGACCCCGGCGCAGCAATCTCGTCAACTCCACGGCCAGCACGAGTGGGTCGCCGTCCACCGACAGCCGCGCCTCTCGGAACTTCTGCAGCGCGTCCTGCCTATCCGCCGGGCTGTCGAACTCCAACAGCAGCCTTTCCGTCACCGCCTTCCAGTCAGCGTCCTCCACACTATCGTACACCGCTCTCGCCCTGCCTCTTAGTATAGTCCCCAGCACCACCGCCTTCGCCTTCCGTTCCTTGACCCCGACCAGCTCCGCCACAGCCTCGAACTCCTTCAAGAAGTTCCTTACATCTCTGTCTTCAAACTCCCGAGGCCATGGTCTCTTCATCCTGTGTGGAGGCAGCGACACCAAATCGTTAATTTGCAAAATATCAGTCCATCATCCATCGAACTGGACTGTTCCTGTTGCAAAACATCAATCCATCGTCACTATTCATGCGTTTCATACAAATTCCATTGTTTTCTAACTCTTCCTTTCTTGATCTTCCCCCATCTTCTGCTGCTGCCAGACATCACGTTGACACTCACGTCATATACTACTTATAAGTAACTCACACCACAGTAGTAGTTTTATTACTATTAGTAGTAGAAGGTCAGTAGTAGCAACAGTCGTAATCGGAATTACAAACTCAAGTGATCATACCATCTTCCTTCGTTACAATAATTTCAAATTAGTGTAGTGATCAGTTAAGAGACAAAATCTCATCTATTGAATCACACTGACGCTACTCCGATGAGGAAGATAGGGATTAGTGAATGAGTGAATTTTGTTGTAGAGATTCAGCATTTTAAGCAGTGGAAAATTAAAAAAAAATTTTTTATTTAAACAACGCTCATGATATTCTGGATAAATTTATTGATTTTACAGTTCTGTAGGTGACTATCAGTTTATGTGAAATTGTTAACTTACAAACAACACTACAGTTTCAAATTATATAATTAGGTCAGCAGAGCGTTCTAATTTGGCATTCTAAAAGGTTATTTAAATTTTTATGTCAGTTTGTTTTCAAGATAACAAAACTCACTATATTTGCACTTCATTATTCAGTCAATCTTTATTGTTCTCTAAAAATAATCTATTATCGATCAGGTTGACGACATGACAGCAGTTCAGTGGAAACAGAATGAAATCGGTCTAATATCACCAAACGAATGGGATTAAAAGCCCTGATTGACGACTTCAGATTGGATAGTATCTTGTTTACTTACTCACCTGTAAGACTTCAGTCCAATGTTAAGTAAATCATAAGTGTGCACTTCTAGGAATTCATTATTATTCAGAATAAATAGACTTGATCCTTTGTGTTCAGAATAAATTTGAATACCGGCGACGATTCAGCTGCAACTACATTTCACGGGAAAACAGTTCATTCTTTTCATCGGCATCTATTTTGCTGAGACATTGAATGCAAAGTATAATATTGGGAATCGATAGACACGTTGATCACTCAATGATGATCGAATCCTATCGAACATATTGCGATAGGCTCACTAATCTAGGTAACTGAACATTCCGTACACTATATTGAATGTAAAGCTGTGGTCAGAGGAAGTAGACAAGAAACCATCAATCTAGATATCGTGATTTGTCGGGCAGTCTTAATGCCACTCAGGGTAACACGGAATCGAATTGCCTAGGCAGTATCAGCTACCTCAAGATTACAGTAACAGCTTCTTGCAGAGTACTACATGTCGCGAAACCTAGGTTCACGGTTTCCTGTCGTCTAATTTCAACCACCACAAGCTATAAATATGCTGTGTTACTTAAATTGCTGTTGAGGATGTTAGATCTCCAGAACTCGCTTGATTGTTGTCTTGATTTTGGATCTATTTCATGGGCTGATCAGTTGACCTTGAGATCACATTTCCCACCAGGAAAAGACTAAGCTGTGATTGGCTGTTGTGTTATTTTAGAGTGCCATTTTTGTGACTGTCCCAAGGACGTTACAATGATGTATAAATAAACGCAATTTCTTTGCTTGAGATCATTGTGCTTGCTGGGTGTTTGTAGAATATAATTTCTACGCTTACCAAGACTTCTGTTTAACAGTTTGGGATTCAAGGGAGCCTACCTGGACGCTGGTTCATTGTCTCGTTCTAGTTTATCGACTAATGGGAAGCGGTAATAGTTTTAGGCACACCTAGTGAACCTAGCAAAACAATTTCATTTGCTAGAAGAAATAACTATATAAGTATTTGTTAGTGATCAGAGTAATTGTTCAACTCTAATTCATTAAACATTGTGAATCAAATAAAAAAAGTTGTAAGCAGCATAAGCACTTATGATAAAAAACGATCCTGAGAACATCATGCAAAGTAAATATTTGTGTTCAAGTAGAAGATCAATTGATGAATCATAACTTACTGATATTACTTACGCCTGTTACCCCCAATGTAGCATAGGCCGCCCACCAGTTTTCTCCAACCAACTCTGTCCTCGGCTTCCCTCTCCACTTCTGTCCAATGTTTGTTCATTCCTCTCATATCTTTCTATATTTCTTGGCGTAATGTGTTCTTTGGACTTCCTCTTTTCCTTTCACCTTGAGGGTTCCATGTGAGGGCTTGTCTCGTGATGCAGTTAGGTGCTTTTCGTAATGTATGTCATATCCACTTCCAACGCTTCATCCTGATTTCCTCCTCCACTGGAATCTCGTTTGTTCTCTCCTACAGTAGGTTGTCGCTGATGGTGTCTGGCCAACGAATCCGAAGTATTTTGCGTAGACAACTGTTCATAATCACTTGTATCCTCTGGATGATGCCTTTCGTAGTTCTCCTAGTTTCCGCTCCATACATTAGAACTGTCTTCACATTTGTATTGAAAATCCTGATTTTGGATTTGTTTGAAAGTTGTTCGGAGTTCCAGATATTTTTTAACTGTAGAAATATTTGTACTCTTTCAATATTCTCATTCACCTAATTTGTCTCATGTTGGAGGATGTCGATTTCATCCTAGTGTAATGTGACACCTACAGTTAAAGCTTCCGTAGCTTCACTGATCGTCTTCACTAGTGTTTGTTGTCACGTGTTAGATAGAACCGAAATATATTCTGAGAAGTTCAGATAGTCCTGCAGTTTCATTACTGTCCAATCTATTCTCTGCATCCTCAGTTATGTGATTTTCACATAATCACAATGTGGTCGATATTAAGGCGAAAGGAAAAGTGTGAAAGCACCAACATTGCTTGACAGTGAGTGATACTAACATGCAATGAGTTTGTCAACTGTCATCCATGTGTGCGAATCTATCACAATAATTCAATATAATTATCATCATAATTATAAATAATGCAACAAATTAAAAACCTATTTACAACAGAAGAATTCTTTCTGTATAGTCACATTTTGGTAGGTGTGTTAGATATATCAATCATGGCATAATAACCTGTTGGCCCATGATAGGGAAATGAAATATTATATAAAATTAATATTCCATTTGTGGTGCGCGCTACTTATAAGTAGTATATGACGCGAGTGTAAACGTAATGACTGGCAGCAGAAGATGGGGGAAGATCAATGAAAGGAAGAGTGAGAACACAATGGAATTTGTATGAAACAAACGCATGAATAGTGAAATGTCAGATAATGGATTGAAGATTTGCAAATTAACCGTTTACGATATGGTTTTCCAATTTTACTGAGTAACTCTGTAATTTTCGTTAAATACAATCCGGTTGCCCTCACCTGTGTTCTCCTTCACTGCACATTCAGTTACCGCACATCAAACTCAGGTGAAATTTGTTTGGTTAAGGTCATCGGAAACTGTCGACTCAAATAATTATATGATTCAACATTTTAAGAATTGTCACGAAAATCCATCAACTGTTTGAACATGCTAGTGCATATAAACCAGTGGACACAAATCCGATAAAAAAGGGATGAACAGCCAAATCTCGACAAGAATCTGAACAAGTATGTCAATCAATGCACGACAAATATCAAACTCAAGATCATTGCAGAATCAAGAAATCCAATTCACCATTGATTCCATGATACAACGGTAGGTCGAAATTTCACAAACCAAACAAACATTCAACTATACTCAATCGCACCGATCACTGGAACTTTAGCAGAAGCCGCCTAATCAACAGCGATTTCATGAATATCGAAACATTCAGTGGATTTATCAGTCCATCAGTTCATCAGTACACATAGTTCGATTGGCATACCGTTAGAGGTGATGGCAGTATTAGCTTAAAGATCGAAAAGCTTAAAGATCGCACATTCGATTTGAGAATTAAGTATATCACAGTGCAATCAATTCCATAATGCACTCACTGATCACATTCATCAACAATTCAGATGATATGGATTTGACAAGAAGCAAAGAAAAGATGATGCATCTAAGCCATTGCAACTGATTTTCAGCCATATCATTCCAAGTCTCTTATATCACATGTTACGATCGTGTGGTGGAATCTATTCAGACGAATGTACACCTGATAACACATGAATGAATGCAGTTGTGAGTGAGTGACTTTAAGGATGGTGGATATGTGCCATGTTTTGGTGTGGACGCTCGTAGCTTCTTCTTCTTCTCAGCCTATCACACTAAATCGAGTGAATTGACGGTTGATTATGCATACGGTACCAACGTGTGTTCTAACCAACGTGTTCTTCTAACACATGAATGAACATTAACTACTACTGCTTCACCGACTGTTTCACTCCACATTCTATTTGATGAACAGAGTGAGAACATTGAACGAACATTGAGAAAATGATGAATAATATTGAATGGAACGAACCATTGTTAGAATTTTCCACTAATAAACATGAAACTTGTTTTTGTATTATTAATTTCTTGTTTACACTTTCAGTTTATGATGATTATCAAAAGAAAAATCACTGAATACAATCATTTCATAAGTTCTTGTATTAATTAACCGTATTTTTGTCTTTCATTAACAACTGAATTTAACGCATGCAAAAAAAATAATCCTCTTTCATTAAATTGGTATTTCAAGGCGATTATCTGCTAAGAATGTAATCACACGATCTAACACAATCGCAATCCAATAATATTCTTCATGCGGTTTAAAATCGATCAGACGAAGAACATCATCCCTGAAATTCAGGAAATTAAATAATATAAAAATAGCAAGGAATAATTGAATATGCATTACGGGGGTTGTGAATATTGTTAAGTTACACATTTTTTGAAACCATGAATCGATCATTGTTAGTTCACCATTAGAATCCTGGAAGCACTGTACCATAGCCATTTCGTCCTGTTATGTGACTCCTGAACAGTGCGCTCATCCACGACTCCTGCTCCTCACAGGATTTGAACCCAGGATCTTCGGTGTTTTCGCGCGAACGCCTAACCATCGGACCAACGAGCCGATATCTAACGGTGTTAATGTCTAACTTGATCAAATTCACGGAGTTGCGCAACCTCATATACAGTCTTCGTTAGTTACTGTCTACACCAGAACAGATTGAACTTCACTGGTCACGACGTCTTCCCACTAGCACTCGGAGAAGATTCTCCTCACGAAGCTAGTGACTAGTAAGCACAGGTAATTTTTGCATTACACCACTATTGTAAAACCTGGAAGCACTGGACGATGGTCGTTTCGTCCTGTTATGGGACTCCTCAACAGTGCGCGCATCCATGACTCCTTCACTCGTGCAAATAAACAGAAATGTATTAGAAATCAACTCGATATCTGTGATAATCACAATGACTACTGATGTATTTTACAAGTAATAATGTCTGTTTGATTCACAAAAATTAAAAAAATTTTTCTTATATTATTTCCTTTTTTAAATTATTCACTTTAACAATGTGCATGATACAATGAAAAAAATCACTATTTCATATTAATTTGCTACCATTATAAGAAAAAATAATAAAATAATGTTGAAAACTACTCTTTTATGATTGGCTTCAAAGTACATTGGAAATTGTAATCTTTGAATACGTCGAAATACTTTAGAATATGATCAACTCTTTCATTATTGTCAGTAGATTTATGGAAAGCTTCAACAATTACAGCTTTAGCGAATGCTTTCATTCCTTCAGGCATATTAGACTTAACAATATCTGCCATGACGATATAGATTCTATAGACAATGAAGTCAAATAAATTGAACTTCTTCTTGATATATATATATATAAATGAACAAGGATAAAAATGTAATCACATATTTATTTATATATTTCCAATATGGCCGGAGTAACCTTGAACATTGATTGGACCTTCAGTTTTTATAGTAGAATTACTAGATAAAAATCTAGTCTTTTAATAGGTAGTATAAAACAACAACCAACATCTATCTTGAAAAAAAAAATTGCACAATCACATGAGAATTTCAGTGAACTTTCAAAATTTTACATACTTATTAAAAAGTTGGACACTAATTACAGAGTATACAACTACAGTTTTACTTATAGATCAGTTAAGAGTGTGAAGCTGCGTCCAAATATCATCTTGTGAAATTTTTTTTACAGCAAAAATAATTGACAATTCTTCTTCTTTCTCAATCTGACTATATTTACATTCTGTTGTAGTTAAAGACTTTGGTGCATGCGAGATTGTGCCTTCTTTGACCCATCAGGCATGATATGCGAAATGCTTGCTCCAATGCCGTAGTTTCTTTAGCTAAGCTTGGTTCTATTGAGGTAAATAAGACTGTTACGTAGAAGGATATCATCATTTCGTCGTTGTCAATTTGAATCCTCTTGAGTTTATCCAAGAATTCTGTGGCAGACTTAATGGAGTAGTTGGATTCATCGACCAGATGTTTTAATGTCCTTGAGATTCCTCTTGATAAGTTGTAGGTCGGGGTTCCAGGGAGGGATACAATAGGACGTAGTGGAATGTTAGGTTTGTGGAGTTTTGGCCTACCGTAGAATCGTGGAATTGTTGGTCCATTGGATTTCATTCTCCATTGATCTTGTTTTGATATTTGTCCTGTTTTGACAAGCCTATTTAGAGTCCTTGAGATTTGATTGTCCAACTTTTTTATAGGGTTTGCGTCGACTGGTTTATATACGCTTCTGTCCTGAAGTAGATCCTCGGCTTTCTTGATATATTCCTCCTTGTCCATGATTACTGTTATGCGTCCTTTTTCCGCTGGAACTATGACTATATCTTCTCTGGTTTTGAGTTTCTTCAGAGCTTTTCGTTGTTGTGCTGTTAGTTGGTTGCTGTCTCTCTTCCGTCGAGTTAGTGGTACTATGGTTTGTCTTATTTCTTGTTGAGTTTCTTCACTTATTCCTGCCGTTTTGAGCGATGACTCTAATGCCGCGAAGAATTCCAGTTTTGAAGCGTCCTTCGTGTTGTAGTTTAATCCTTTTTGGAGCAGTTGTAATTCTGTTGTCGTTAGATGTTGCTTCGATAGGTTGACCACACAACTGTTTGCGTTTTCTTCTGTGGCTAGCTTTGAAATCTTGATTAGTTTGTCTTTGAGGATGCTTCTTCTTTGTTCTCTGTGTCGTCTGCTTGACAGTTCAATCGCCGTTGTCAACGTTGACAACGGCGATCCAATGCCGTAGCTTAGGGCATCTGACGCTACTACAATAGGGAGGGATGGGTCATAGTGTGTCAGCGACAGATCTGAGAGTAGCAGTTTTTATAATCTTCTCGAAAGCAGTTTGACAACTTTTGGACCAACACTACTTTACGTTCTTTGCTAAAAGACTGTTTAATGGGGCACGTAGACGATGAAGTTCAGGGATAAAAACTCCATACTGACTAATGAGCCCCAAAAAGGATCGAAGTGTGGAAACATCTGTCGGTCTCGGCATTGCTTTCAAAGCTTGAGTGTTTTCTGGATCTCGTTTTCTCCTGTCTTTATCGATAATAAAACCGAGGTAGCCTACACTCTGCATGAAAAAGTCGCATTTTTCCACACGAAGCCGGAATCCATATTCAGCTATTCTTGATAGCATCTGGTCGAGCTTCTTTTCTAAGTCTATTCTATCAACGCCCATAATTATTATATCATCCAGGTAAGCTGAAACGCCAGGGAGATCATGTAGCATAGTATCCATCACCTGTTGAAATATGGAGGGGGCAGTTTTGACTACAAAAGGTAACCGATTATATCGGAATAGGCCCTTATGTGTGTTAATAGTAAGCAGATATTTACTTTCATCAGCGACAGGAATCTGTAAATAGGCTTCCGATAAATCCAGTTTTGCAAACACCTTGCCTCCACTTAGCTTAGCGAAAAGATCCTCAGGTATAGGCAAGGGATATTGGTGGGGTTCCAGAGCATCATCCAGTCCCGTAGAGTAATCAGCACATAGACGGACACTTCCGTTTGACTTCTTGACCACCACAATCGGTGCAGCCCATTTGGAGAAACTCACAGGTTCAATAACACCCACTTTTTGAAGTCGCTCCAGTTCCTGTTCAACTACCGGGAAAGAAGCATAAGTTACAGGTCTTTTTGGTCGAAAAACAGGAATAGCTGTTGACTTGAGAGTCAGTAGTGCTTTAGCTTTCGTACATTCGCCTAACGCTTGCGAAAATACGTGATGATGCCTATTCATAACGGCATTTCACAGACTTGACTCTAAAGGGTTATTGATTCTTACTCGGCTGCAGATGTTGTTGATAGAATGGTCTGTTAGTTTTAATGCATCTATGAGATCCAACCCCAATAAATCAAGATCTGGGTTCTTAGTTAGGTATACAGTTGCACTCGTTGTTGCCTCATTTTTTGAAACGGTTCACAATATTTCCCCAACAATATTTAACTTGCCACCAGATGCGCTGTGTGCTAGTTGCTTCGTTTGGTGTACTGTAGGTCTTCCAATTTTCTCCCAAGTTTTTGGACTGATAAGAGTGAACAGGAACTAGAGCGACTTCAAAGTGGCTTATTCTAAGGTTACAGTGATAGGTGAGATTGAGTATAGTTGAATGTTTGTTTGATTTGTGATATTTCGGCCTACCGTTGAGTCGTGTTATGAATGGTGAATTGGATTTCTTGATTGTGCAATAATCTTGTGTTTGATATTTGTCGTGCATTGATTGACATGCTTGTTCAGATTGTTTTCGAGATTTGGCTGTTCATCCCTCCGTATGGGAGATCGATCATCCATCGCCTTGAAATACCGATTTAATGAAAGAGGATTATTTTTTTTGCATGCGTTAAATTCAGTTGTTAATGAAAGACAAAAATACGGTTAATTAATACAAGAACTTATGAAATGATTGTATTCAGTGATTTTTCTTTTGATAATCATCATAAACTGAAAGTGTAAACAAGAAATTAATAATACAAAAACAAGTTTCATGTTTATTAGTGGAAAATTCTAACAATGGTTCGTTCCATTCAATATTATTCATCATTTTCTCAATGTTCGTTCAATGTTCTCACTCTGTTCATCAAATAGAATGTGGAGTGAAACAGTCGGTGAAGCAGTAGTAGTTAATGTTCATTCATGTGTTAGAAGAACACGTTGGTTAGAACACACGTTGGTACCGTATGCATAATCAACCGTCAATTCACTCGATTTAGTGTGATAGGCTGAGAAGAAGAAGAAGCTACGAGCGTCCACACCAAAACATGGCACATATCCACCATCCTTAAAGTCACTCACTCACAACTGCATTCATTCATGTGTTATCAGGTGTACATTCGTCTGAATAGATTCCACCACACGATCGTAACATGTGATATAAGAGACTTGGAATGATATGGCTGAAAATCAGTTGCAATGGCTTAGATGCATCATCTTTTCTTTGCTTCTTGTCAAATCCATATCATCTGAATTGTTGATGAATGTGATCAGTGAGTGCATTATGGAATTGATTGCACTGTGATATACTTAATTCTCAAATCGAATGTGCGATCTTTAAGCTTTTCGATCTTTAAGCTAATACTGCCATCACCTCTAACGGTATGCCAATCGAACTATGTGTACTGATGAACTGATGGACTGATAAATCCACTCAATGTTTCGATATTCATGAAATCGCTGTTGATTAGGCGGCTTCTGCTAAAGTTCCAGTGATCGGTGCGATTGAGTATAGTTGAATGTTTGTTTGGTTTGTGAAATTTCGACCTACCGTTGTATCATGGAATCAATGGTGAATTGAATTTCTTGATTCTGCAATAATCTTGTGTTTGATATTTGTCGTGCATTGATTGACATACTTGTTCAGATTCTTTTCGAGATTTGGCCTGTTCATCCCTTTTTTATTGAATTTGTGTCCCCTGGTTTATATGCACTAACATGCTCATACAGTTGATGGATTTTCGTGACAATTCTTAAAATGTTGAATCATTTAATGAATTGAGTTGACAGTTTCCGATGACCTTGTCCAAACAAATTTCACTTGAGTTTGATGTGCAGTAACTGAATTGAATATTAGTTTTCATAGAATATTTCATTTTCCGTCGAAAGGGGCGAAGAAATTAATAGGCCATGATTGATATATCTAACGTACCTACTAGAAATGAGACTATACAGAAAGAATTCTTCTGTTGTAAATAGGTTTTTAATTTGTTGCATTATTTATAATTATGATGATAATTATATTGAATTATTGTGATAGATTCGCACACATGGATGACAGTTGACAAACTCATTGCATGTTAGTATCACTCACTGTCAAGCAATGTTGGTGCTTTCACACTTTTCCTTTCGCCTTAATATCGACCACATTGTGATTATGTGAAAATCACATAACTGGGAATGCAGAGAACACATTGAAGAGTATTGAAGCTGCAGGACGATGTAAACTTCTCAGAATATATTTCCGTTCTATCTCACACGTGACAACAAATGGAAGTGAAGACGATCAATGAAGCTACGGAAGCTTTAACTGTAGGTGTCAAATTACACTAGGATGAAATCGACATTCTCCAACATGAGACAAATTAGGTGAATGAGAAAATCGAAAGTGTACAAATATTTCTACAGTTGAAAAATATCTGTAACTCCAAACAACTTTCAAAAAAAACCAAAATCAGCATTTTCAATACAAATGTCAAGACAGTTCTACTGTATGGAGTGGAAACATGGAGAACTACCAAAGCCATCATCCAGAAGATACAAGTGTTTATTAACAGTTGTCTACGCAAAATACTTCGG